TAGGAGCATCAAGTTTAATGATCAAGTAATGACTCAAAACAAGTAAGGAAGGAATTGTTTCACACAATACTGGAATTTGTAGCTACCAGTTGTGAATCCCAGAGTTTGCATTTATTCACAGAAGAATTATAAAGAATCATGAAAGATAAATAAATCCAACAGTAGTTAGTAAATGCACAGGTATTTTGGTCAGATACTTATTTTCCTATCTTGCAGATCTGTGAAGGTAAAGGAAACATACCTGGGAGGAAGAATTCCCACATACTTTCCAAATTTATGTATTGTCACCTAGGTATCTACTTTTGATATTTTTGCATACAAGACTCCTCACTTTTGGAAACCTTAGTTTTCTTTAAAAACAGTAAAGAACGATATTTTTTAAAAGTAGTTAGGTATTCATTTTAACGACTTTTTAAAACATTATTTTCTTTCTCACCTGTTTAGCCCATTACTCTTTAAGCTGAGTCACAAACAACAGCAAAAACATTCATGCCATTTTCATGTCTCAATCTGTTTCCTCTCCATTCCTTTCTCTATGGAAATATCAGCTTGCTATTATTTTTATTTTCACATAGTTACATAGTTACCTAGAGCTAATAGGAATTATGCTTTTGCAGAGCCTCGATGAGAACAGGCATATGAGCTCCCTTTATAGCAATATGACATTGATGCAGTAAACTGCAAATAACATTGAAAAGTTCAAAGTGAATGAACTGAAAAATATCTAAAATTTATTTCCGATCTGGTGGTTCCAGTAGCTACATGTAATAAGGGTAAGCCAAACAATAAAGGTCTTGGTCCCACAGAAGTCAATCCTAATTAATTCATGAGAGTCCTATGACCTGTGGTATCCAGGATTTCTGTGATTTCTGACCTTAAAATATATGAAGCTCATGGTCTTCTTTTCTTTTTTAATTAAATTGATGTGATTGTTTTGTCCCACATTCTGTTTTCACCATAGTTGCTACATTCCCTAAATACAGCTAACTGATTTTAAAACTGCCTGAAGTCAATCTGTACTGACCTTGTTGTTGATGGTAATGACTGAACCTTGGTTACTAGGACAAGTTTGGGTATTGGCTTATAACAGTTTCCTATAATGCAATCCCTTCAACAAAATACTCTTTCTTCCATACACAGTTTCCTACTACCACAGAGTTACCTGCTTGGAATCCATGACTGAATTAACAAGTGCACTGTGCAGGTTATTGGCAGAGCTCTGTTCCTGAAGTAGAACAAGAAGAAAACCAATTCAACGATATATATTTGCACCTAGTCCAACCCTCTGCCTGCCCAAGCTAAGAATGTTGCTATTGATTTTAATAAAACAAGTAGGCCATCTGACTGCTAGTGATGGTTTGACAGATCTTAAAATGACTACTGACTATGATTCTAGTTCAATGGTCCAAACATAGTCTTGAGAAATAATGACCAAAAAAGACTGCATGTATGTTATTTATAATAATAATAATAATATCAAAAATACACTAGCCAAAACCAAACTAGATTGGGGCTACCAATCCCATTCCATGCAAAGGAACATTCATATCCCATAAAACAATCTTCTTCTACTAGTCTCATCAGACTGACAAGAACTAAGTAATTAATTCAGCTGTCTCCCATCTCTAGATCAGGAATAAAATACACACTAAATGAAACCCAGACAATCATAGCTGTTACTTTACCCTTGGTGAAGGAAAACATTTGTTTTCTATTGATGTCAAGGTACAATTTTCCAAAACCATTAAGCGTATTTTTGAGAAAGTCCACAGCTTATGTTTTAAGGAGAAATACACACAATACAAATAATGAGTTGCTTAATTTACAATTCTTTTTCTAGACCTTTGTATATATAAATCTGTTTTATTTGTAGTAATGTGTTACCTGGAGCAGTACAAATAAGATCTTACAGAATTTATTCACTACAGCTGATAATTTCTGATTAATATTACTGTTTTGGAGTATAGATCCATAAAATTAAAGACCAAAAAGGATCTGTTAGGTCATCTAAACTGTCTGAATATGACTGGTGATTAAATTGCAGATGGTCCTTTCCAAAAAGGAACAAAAAGCTCACATATGACTACTGAATCTTCTTAAATCTTAATCTGAAGCTACAAAAAGGTGAAAAATCCACTACATACTTTGGTAGAATATCAATCTACTCCTTGGTTCATCAATTTATGATTAATAATTTATATCTTACTTACAATCTGAGTTTGTTTGGCTTCATCTCCTATAACAGGTCTTTTTGCTTGTATCTTTATCTTTTTTCACTTGTTTACAAAGTCTTTCATTTCATTCTACTTCCTTCTCTAGGTATTTATGCATTATAATCACACCATTTTCTCACCCTCCATTTTAAAAAGCTAAATAAGCTAATTTTCTGAAGTGTTCCACTGATTGTATTATTTTTGGCTCTCCAACTCCTTGACAATTTTTTTGTACTCTCCAGAATTACTCTGTATCTTTTTGAAAATATGTGCATTAAAATAATCTCACTATTCTAATTAACGTCTCAGTAGGTGCACCTATGTACTGCATTATACAAAAGAGGGCCAAGAAATGAGCTTGAACACCAGTCATCTACCCTGACTGTTAATGCCTTCCCTGGATATGCTTTGGACTGCTCCAACCTGGCCCTTCGGTACAAAGCTGCTGTAGAGAAGGCCTTAAAGAGCACGGATATGAATTAGTCAGTCCACCTTGACCCCAGGGCACTGATATCATCACTAGCTCTCTTTTATTTATCTGCTCAGACAAAGGCCACAGACAGAAGTAAAAAAATTAAAGCCACAGACAGAAGTAAAAATCTCTAATTCATAGCATCTTAGGATTATTGGCTTTTCTCTCCATAGCTTCATAATGGCAGCTCAAACTCAGTTTTTTTATTTATTATGATCACTAGAAGACCTTTTCAAAAGGTTACATTAGAAACCTTTTCAAAGTGCAGTCCACAGATTTTAGCTAAACTCTTCATTTGTCATTTTGAAAGGGCTACATTTGTATCTGGCTGCACAGAGATACATGTTGTTGGAGAGGCCATAGATAAGAGCTCAAACTACCTGTCAAATTTCTGTGTTTCGTGCATTATTTTCTACTCCTGCAGCTTGCATAATTCTGCAAAATTTATCAGCAGGGCTTTTATATTTCCTTTCAAATTATTGATGGACATCTTGAAAACACTGGTCGTACCATTAACATCAATTAAATGTAATTAAAACTGTTCTTTTCAACGATCTTTTCCTCACTGATAACAGCTTTCCTAAAACACGGAGTCAACATAGGGTATATTTTGGTCATTCTGGATAATGATGCTCATTTAATCAGCATGTCAATAATACGAAGTTAATAGTTTTACACAACTCTAACTACATTCTATCTACGCAGCCACAAATTTCAATCAAATATATATATCTGGTGGAGCGTGAAATTAAAGGACCTAATTTCTCACGTGGGCTAGCATTAACAGCTATTTCCCTTCTTTAAAGTCTTAGCAATTGTTTCAGTAATTACATATTTTATCTAGTAACTGTCTTGTGAAGGTATTTCAGATGAAAATAGAGCTCATATTCTTTTTCCTTCCTTTGTACATGACAATCCTGACCATTAAATGATTGCTATGCTCTGTATTGTAGGGCCATTATCCTTTGTACCAAGGCATAGCTTCAATATGATGGGTGGAGAGCATGTATAGACTTTATCCTGACAGGTAAAAGGGGTTGATTTCATCTCCCTCAGGTGCTACAGAGAAATGAATCACTTTCTTATTCCTGGTATGTGTGCTCACTATAGCTATTAATTAGAGCAGCAAAATATTACTGTTCCTGCAACCAAAATGGTTGGTTTTATTTTTAAGAGATTTTTTAAAGAGCTTTGTACCATCATTATAAACCTGTCGCTATTCAGAGGAGAGCTACCATTCCTGCATTGTTATAAAGATGCGCAGCAAGTGCCATATAGAGCTTGGCATTTAGTGGCTCTCAGGATAGCTCTCCCGAAAGGATGATTTCAGGCTACCCACTGTTCAGAGTGCTGGCTATGTGGATTTCCTTCTCAAGTGCCCCAAAGTTTGTGCACATGGAGCCATATTGTTATGGGATGTGGGGTCCTGTAGGAACATGTCCATAAAACTTAGGGATGCCAGAGGTAAAATTGCAAGTTTACAGCCTTGTATTGGATCTTACATGGTGAGCTTTAGCAGTTCTGCCCTATTAAAAAAGGATGTGCACAACTAAAGCTATGTTTGGATTAGAAGCAATTTAGTCCCAGTGTTATCATCCTAACAAGCAGTGTCTCCAGTAACATCATATTTTCCGGCTCTTTCACATAAAATTAGCTAATTCAGCAAAAGCTCATTTTTGGCAGTACTACTGTTCATATAATGGAAGCTTCTGCTATCAATCAAAAATTGTGTTCTCGATGACAATCACTATATTGGCAGAAGCTTTTGTAGCAGACGTTGAATAAATTGCTTACACCGTGAAGTGATTTGACAACCACAAATAGTTTGGGCCTAAATGTGTATAACACTATTGAAATAAGGCTTGGACTTGTGTAGTGGGTTTACGTGGCAAGGCTTTGGTAGCAGGGGGCCATAGGGGTGGTTTCTGTGAGAAAGATCTAGAAGCCGCCCCATGTTTGGGAAGGGTCCCATTGTTTTCCAGATCTGAGCCAATAAGCGATGTTGTTTTGCGCCTCTGTGAGAGCATATTTAAGACAGGGAAAAAACGCTGCGCCACACAGCAGCCGGGAGACTCAAGGGAGTGAGAAACAGCCTTGCAGGTGCCAAGGTCAGTGCAGAAGGAGGGGGAGAGGTGCTCCAGGCGCCGGAGCAGAAGTCCCCTGCAGCCTGTGGTGAGGACCATGGTGAAGCAGGATGTCCCCCTGCAGCCCATGGAGTACCACGGTGGAGCAGGGTTCCACGCTGCAGCCCATGGAGGAGACCACGGTGGAGCAGGTGGCCCTGCACCGATGGAGGCTGCCGCCTGTGGAAGACCCCTGCCGGAGCAGATTCCAGGCCGGACCTGTAGCCTGTGGAGAGGAGACCACGCAGGAGCAGGTGACCTGGCAGGAGCTGCTGCCCGTAGGGGAGCCAGGTTGGAGCAGTTTTCTCCTGAGGGATGGACCCCGTGGTACGGACCCATATCTGGAGCAGTTCTGGAAGAGCTGCTGCCTGTGGGAAGCCCACGCCAGATCAGTTCGTCAAGGACTGCATCCCGTGGGTGGGACCCCACAGCACAGGGGACGAGAGTGACCGAGAAGGAGCGGCAGAGAAGAAGTGCTGTAGACTGACCATAACCCCCATTCCCCCGTTCCCCTGCGCCGCTCGGGGGGAGGAGGTGGAAGAGGGTGGATGGGGGGGAGGTGCTTTTGGTTTCTTTCCTTTGTTTCTCACTTCTCTAGCTTGTTAGTAATAAGCAATAAATCTTACTATCTGTCTTCTTATGCTGAGTCTGGTTTGCCCGTTACACTAATTATTGCATGATTTTCTCGTCCTTATCTCAATCGTCCTTGAGCCCTTTTCACATATTTTCTCCCCATTCCTCTTTGAGGAGGGGGAGTGAGAGAGCGGCTGTGGTGGAGCTCGGCTGCCCACTCGAGTGGAACCACGACAACTTGAAAGGCATCTAAACGTTTTTGAAGTTCTTACCTGGCACTTCATGTCAGGATAAACAAAGAAAAACTGAGGACATTACATTTTAATTTTAATAGTGAACCGGAATACTCCAATTGATTTTTCTTTATTGATTTTCAGTCTCAGTTCAACAGGCAGTCCTACGTGGATGGAAGTGCCAAGGTTTCATTTATCTACTGCCTGCAGCGCTTGATGCTGATTAAGGTGATGATTTACAACTTTGCAAAGTGTAAGTAAAATACTCAAAACATTTAACGTGTACACCTGCCTTAACCACCATAAATAACAGCACCAAGTGGTGAGCAATAAAGAATCAGATCCCAAGTGTCACAAACTTTCTTTCTGAACAACAGAATTAGCATGCTGACCCTTGAATGTTCTCCCAGATTTAGGAAATATTCTGTTAATCCTTCCCGCTCCAAAGGTCTCTGGAGTTAAGCATTGTCAGTCCCACAGAAGTTTATTATTTTACATAACACAGAAATTACTGACTGCTTTTTCCTCAAGGATGTTCTTCTAACCTCTATTTTTATTACCATTTTTTCCTAGTTATTTAATGGACCTAGCATGTGTCACACAGAGAGGAATAGACCTTGAAGACAACACTTGCTTTACTGATTCTACAAAAGTAAAGGAGGAAAGAACAGCTGGGAGACATTAAAGGATAAACACTTTATTAGTGTATAGTGCTAAGTGTACATTCCATGGCCTTATCACTTTATGATGTGATCAAACAAAATGTCACAAGCAAAGCAGAGATGAGCTACTTTGGTACTTGGCCAAAAGACCTCCAAGGAACCCATAGGTACTGCGGGAAGCGATATTAGCAATTTATGGGATGCCATTTTTCTCTGAGCAAGCATCGAAGTGTTATAAAAGGGGTGACTGCTTGCAAATTGTTGTCAGTATGTGAAGCAAAATTTGGTTTCTGGGAACTTGTTCAGTGCAATAGTCTTATCTTAGCACCAGCTTTGTGAATTATTTTTACTTATGTAAATTTACATGACTTTTCAAGCAAGCTTCAGTTCACATCAGTTTCATATAAATTCTGATCAAACTTGATTTGCAACAGGACAGAATGGATCAAAATCATACAAAACTAAGAATGGTAATGCAGTGGAATTACTTTTAACAAGTAATAGAATAAAGAAGATTACAATCTGAAAAGAAAAAAAAAAAAAAGATTTTGTAAGGGAAAAAATGAGTCAATAGGTAGATTATACTGATTTTGTATTGACATATTTCTGATTAATATGAGCTATTTTCATAATAATATTTTGATCACTTGGGGGGGGAGGGAGGGGGAGATTAATTGAAAAATGTAAAAAGTCTGTTGTTTGTTTGTTTGTTTTCCAAATTATATTTTTAAACATATTAATTTGATGGTTCCAGTCTCTTGCACAGTTATTCAATAAACAAAGTGTCCATCCAGTATATGCAAGATCAAGGTTCATAATTTTCCCTTTGGCCCACTGTTCAGACCAATACTTTACAGCCCACTGTTCAGACCAATACTTTTACTCCCGCCTTTTGGAACATTCTGCAAAGGGTCATGTTCAGTTTCTCCCATGTACAAAAATAAATTGTATCAATAGCAACTACATGTAGCATGGATTGTGAAAATTAATATAATGCTCAACCTATTAGGTAAATGTCTACTTTACAGGGTCACTTGATGTGAGATTTCATGTAGCAGCCTGCCACAGAAATAAATAGGGAGCTTCCAGAAAGCAATTCACCTTATCTTAAAGTAGGAAAAAGATGCAGGTTATCCTTATATATTTAACTGTATGATGAAAATACAGAATACAGTTCACCAACATTTAATTGTCTAAATATATACGTCAACGTATCCTGACATCTTAAGTCTCATAGTATCTTAAGATACCATTTATGTCAAAGGAGATTATAGACAACACAGAAAATGGAACCTATACAGAGGTTCAGAGCTAATTACACTAGACAAATCATTTTATTTTGCCATGTTTTAAAATAATATTCCCAAAATGATAAAATAGGTGTTAAATAGACCATCTTATTTTACCTGGAATCTGTTAACATGCACATCTTCTTTAAAAGAAAAAAAAAAGGGGGGGGGAGGGGGCACACAACAAAACTTTTGCTTGCAATCAGATTAATTCTTTGATTTGAAAACTAAAAATAAACTACTCATCAATCACTGTGCTTGACAGTCAGTCATCTAAATACAAGATTATCATGTTCTTTGTACCAATTCACTTAAAAGATTGTTGTATTTTGGCTTCAAGATCTACAGCTTTGTACCTATTTGCAAAGATAGTTTGGATGAAATTCTTGTTATTCTTTACTTCATTACTAATTACTATGGATTCACTTTTCATACTGAAATCAAAAGAATACAGATGTATATAACCCTGATTTTGTAATGAGGTGGGTTTTTTTTGCTTAAACTTTCTTCTACAGCTTGTAAGCAATGAAACTAATTTGATGAAGGGCTTTATATGCCTCGTGAAAGTAAATGACAGCTTGCTAAGGCACTTTGTTGGAAGCTACACTTGAATTATGATTATTTTTTACATTCATTGACGTATTAACAAAAAAGATGATAAAGTGCTAAGATGAAAGACTAACTTAATTCCATGTTATCTATCCAACTACTTGGGGGATAAATCATGGTTTCTCATTATACGGTATTTCTTTATGACTATTACATGAAATAAACAGACAGTTTAAAAGCAACTTTTTAGAAAAACCTCAGAGATGATGAGCAGCAAGTTGATCTCAGTGAGCACATTTCACCCTATGTTACTTGTGGTCCTGGTAAAGACAAAAATAGCTGAGTCTGATGATATGTTTTGATGTCAGTGCTATCAGAAAGAATCCTTTAACACACTTTGATTATATGGTAGCCAAGCAGTTTATTGATAATAGGTTTAACGCTGCCTTTTGACAGTCTTATATAACCATCTCATTTGTTCAGAACATATTCGCAAACTAAAGCAATTCTTATAAAGACCTTTCCTTCTTATTCCAGCTTGTTTACTCTCATTTAATCACAGTTTTCTTCTCCATAAATTGCATTTTTTCCTGTCTTTAGGATGCCTGACTCATTTTATTAATACTCAGTAAACATCTCAGTTCTTTTATTCAGTTTCTTCTTTCAGATATCACTTTTGACATCATGTCACTAAGTGCACTCAGTGTTCTGTTCCCTGCATCTTTTAATTAAAATCCTTTCTACTGGTATGCCACAAAATTCAGTTCTCTTCCATACCCTGTTTATTTATTATTATTATTATTATTATTATTATTATTATTATTATTATTATTATTATTATTATTATTATTATTATTATTATTATCTCAGCATAAGTTGTTATACTAGGGCATAGCTTTTTGTATCATATGAAGACACAATAATTTGGTCTTCTTTCTATGACTTGGTGACAAATCTTATTTCCATTTTATCACAGATAAAAGCAAATACATGTAAGTCGGCCTTACTGATATGAAAACAAAATCATTACGGGTTAGCAATTAATTTGCCATGAAAACTTATTTGGTTTTGAAATTTTGTTTTTTCTGAAAGAAAAAAAAAAAAAGAGAGAGAGAAAGAAAAGGTTGGAGAAGAGGAAGGGGAAGTGAAGGGGAAGCAGTAGGGAAAGGGGAAAAGGTAACATTTCGATTTCAAAAGCTCACTTAAACCTGAAAGATTCATTTCCTCTTGTTTCTTAATTGGAATACTGGGAACATTGTGGTTTTATTTGCTTCATTGCCACTGTTTATCTCAGCTATTTGATTCTTTGTTGCAACAGGATGCTGCATTGGCTTGGCTGATTCTTTTATCTTCCATATTGATTAGTAAGTGCTTTTGAGTTTGTCTTTCAATCACTCAAAACCAGCAGCTTTTGCAAAGGCAATCAAATGAGTTGACTAGGAAGTTTCAATACTATGGTACAAAATCCCTGTTACAAACATACCTAATTACCAATGTGTAAAGTTTATCTTCTGAACTTAGAGATTCAAAATTACAAGTCCGTGATATAGATACATTCAGAGAACATGCTTGTGGTGTCACTGAGAACAATACTTGACTAGGAATCCTAGGATTTGAGAACTGCTTCCATTTTGGGCGCCACTTGGTGGCTACTACTTTGATTCAAAACAGAACTCCTCTTGGAAAGGGACCCAGCCCAGGGCAGAGATGCAGCTATCTACTTGCATACTTCCAATAATATTAATTAAAGGGCAAAAATGAGCAAATAATTTCATACTATATACTATTGCTCTGCATGGGGAATCTCATAGCAGGTGTGATGGTACAGGTGCATCCCCACCCCAAGCATCAAACTCTCAGTTGCTGTCTTGTGTTCTTGGGGTCGGCTATCACCTTCTTTTCTGTCTGATTATCCTATTTCATGATCTTCTGTTCCATTCTAGAACAATGTCCTCTATTCACAACCATACAGAAATACTGTTATAAGCTTTGCTTTCTATATGTACATCACCTGACCACATCTGCACCACACACACTTTGTAAAACCATTCAATTCCTGTTGCTTAAAACAGGTATTAGGCATGTTTTATTATGATATTAGTTTGTATTTAGTATGGTATTTCAATGACCTAGTTAAAATAAATAAAAAAAAAAAGTACTGGGCCAGAATATGTGAACCACCAGCAGGCTGACAGCTCTCCTTACAACACTCCCCAAGCCTTGCAAGCATCAGCCTGAACTTGTACTTAGGACCCAAAGGAAGCAGAAGAATGAAAATTTATGCCCAGAGATTCAGTCTCTCACACGCCTCAGCAAGTCATACCATACTTCTGCACTCACTACACCAACAGACTTCCTGTATGAAAATCAGCACTGCCTTGATATAATGTGTCAATCTGCAAGCCACTTAGCCGAGGATACTTTATTCCAGTGTGGTTCAAGGAAACTGAGGCAGGACATACAGCAAATGGAGAACAGTGCCTACACTGCTAAGGCATTCAGAAAACATCACCACAAAATAATTTTTTATGTCAAAAAAAAGTCTTTTCATCCATGTCCTTTTGATACCCTGTGACAATAACATTTGGCATTAATCAACACAGAATGACCACTAGTTTCCCCAGAATGGATATATATTGATGTATTTGCTGGAGCTGAGAGCAGTCTTTGAGAAGCTTTAGAATACCATAATACATTCAGTTTTTCAAATAGTTCTGCACCATGTATTTTCTCTTTCATAACTAGTTATCCTCAAGAACTGCCACATAGTTCTGCATCTAGAAAATTCAGAGCTTTCTTGGGTTTGAACAAAATCTCAGTGATGACATTTCATTTGACAACTTACAGAGCCAAATTCAGTTTATTATTTATCATCTATACCAGTGATTTCAATAGTGGGTTGGAAAATGTGTTACAAAGAAGGTGGAAGCAAAAAATATGCTTATTTGTGAAGAAATTATGTATCAACCTCACAGACATCACCATTGCATCATTAACTAACTGCTTTGTGAAAATAGCTGGTTTTTTTTAACCATTTAGAAAACATGAGATGAATCATACTCTGACAGTTTATCCTCTTCCTTTGGAGGCAGAGGATCAAAGAGTAATGATCCTCCCTTCCATCTAGCTTCAAAGTAGACAAAAGTGGCTGGAGTGAGCACACCCTTAGTAAACTTTCTCTAGATTCAAAAAATCAAAACTTGTATAATTACTTCTTTTTGTATTTTGTTCACTTCTCTTTAAAAAACATTGGCTACATGTCTTTAATATTACACGTTTTATACTACAGAATAATTCATTATCTGTTAACTATTTTCTAAAACTGCTTGTGGGAGAATTTATCTCACATGACATTTGCAGTCTAAGCCAAAGAGTCTGGTATAAGTGATCATTTAGGCAATGGGGAGAATGAAGAGATCATCTTTGAAATGGACACTTACTTGCCCATATACAATAGGAAGAACCTTATGTAGATGAATCTTTCCTTGTGTCGATAAGACTTGCAAATGAATCTAAAACTCAGTGATCATATCATGGCTGTACCTTTGTCATCTGTATCTAGAGGACATAGGTACTCACCAAGTATATTTATTTTCTGTTCATTTAAGTGAACTATTTCTGACAAATATATATTCCATTGCTGGAAAGTTGCAAAGAGATTTTTTTTCTCTCTGATGACTTTTTTAAACTTTCCAAATCATTAAATTCATTTAAAATTATTTCTATTTTTTTAATAAATAAATAAATAAAGCCACCTGTACAAAAATTTGCTGTCAGTTGCTGTCTGTTTTTCAAAGTATTGGTTTAGATTTTGCATGGGAGAGAGAGCTAAGTATTTTTTTTCTGCTGAATATAATTGAATAGAAATCATAGCTATAACTATATGTCTGCTCCAAAGTGTCTTTAACACAAAGGAGACAATCTCATTTAGGACTCATTTTTAAGCATTTCTCAAAAGTCTGCCTTTAAGTAATGATGGACTCTTTCAGTGATAATTGAGGCTAAATTTGCAAATATGACTTCTGTAGATTTATACAAATGTGCTTAAGTACATCTTACTTTCAAATAACTTTAATTTGCTAGTGTCAGTTTCCACTTGGAATTTGGTATCTGGCCGTTTGTATCTAGTTGCTCATGCGGCTGAGAGCTTCCAGCAAGAGACGGTTATTTCTGCATCTTTCTGTGTATAACAACATGGTCTCACAGTAGTGACCCTTACAATTTCTTTGATATTATAAAAGATTCTTACACAGAATGTTGCAGAAGTACAGCCTTTAACCAAGATCCCCCATGCCTCTAGAGATCTCTGGTATGATAAATCATATCATTTCTGTTAGTATGATGCTACTTCGTTTTGTTGTTTCTGTGTTGGGACAACCAATTAAAACCTACTGATAGGTTTAACACCACATGCAAAAAGACATATAGAAATAAAGCAGAACTAATATCTCCACATGTCAGCTGATGTAAAGCACTATTTGCCTGTTTATCATATCCTTACTGACATAAACCAAAAAAAAAAAAAACGCTTTACAAAAACTTTACTTTTTTTTTTCATTCAGTGATTTTTCCCCTATCCCATCACATTCATGACCCATCAGTCAAGACTTCCAGCAGTTTCAGAAGGCATATAGTAATGTAGATGAAAAAGGTGCTGCAATGACAGATAAAATTAATGTCAAGAAACTTGCATGCATTAAAAAAAAAAAAAAGCATTAATTCATCTTTCTATTTTTTTTATTCATTCCATATAGACATCTATCTTCCATTTTTGATCTTGAAGTTTAGAGGATTAAAAATAACAAGGGAAAATGCCGTTATCTTTCTGCCTCTGAACTTCATTATTTAAGATAATGGAACTATGTCTTCCACAGAGGTTACTATCTGTAGTTCTGTTCTTGTTATCTGCACTTGCTGCATT